TGGTTTCAACCTTTTCTATAAATTGTGTTTTGCAAGGAAAATTGCAAGATTATCAAGCAAACAGATATTTAAATATACAATTTGTGAGATGAAGTCTCAATTCCAGATGAATGTGATGTTTGTTTGTGGTTTTACTTATGCATAGCTTTTTCATGAGTTTTTTAAGTTTAATAATGTATATTGAGAGAAAGAGGAAGCAAGAGACAGAGAGAGAGACAGAGAGAGAGACAGAGAGAGAGAGAGAAGATGCAGATTTCACAGAGGAGGATAAGGCAGATGAGGAAAGAGAGAAGGTCTCAGATTCAATCTCTAAAGTTTGAAAATAAAATTCTAAATTTGCTATCATAATACATCATTTCCCTATAAAATACATGCAGACTATATATTGTTTTATCACATGTTAACATAATTTATTTGCAGGAATAAACATCGAATCTTTGTGTGTTTTGCATTACAATATTAAATTTTCTTTTCCTAGTCTGTGAAAGATTCCATTGTCTTTTCAGTGCTCATGGTTAGCAACTGTAGATGGAGATTCTCAGTAAGCGTTTGACTTGATGTAGCTTAGCATAAGCTATATGGTAAATGTATCCATAACTGTAGTCACATCTTCCATATTTTTATAGGAATCTGCACATCTGTAATTTCTGAAACATTATTGTGATTGGAGTCAATAGATACATAGTAACATTTGAAATTTTCATATACAATTTTCCATAATTTTTCCTGGTCATTTGTAGTATACTAACTTTGATGTCTATTTACTTGGGGCAAATTTAAAATTTGCCATTGATGGGGCTGGAGAGATGGCTCAGCAGTTAAAAGCACTGACTGCTCTTGCAGAGACCCTGGTTCAATTCCCAGCACCCACATGGTGTCTACGAACAATCCTTAACTCTAGTTCCAGGGGAATCCAAAGCCCTCTTCTGATCTCCACGGCATTGTACGACACGTGTGCACTCACATACATGCAGCCAATACACACATACCCATGAAATGAAAATAATATTTTTTTAAAATTTGCCATTGACTTGTTATTTGAAAACTTAAAACATTTATTCTTATGGTGTATGACATAATATTTTGTTAGACACACGTGGAAAGACTAAAGCAAGCTATATATCAAATAATTTGCCTCACATATTTATTTTGGCTTTGGGACATAAGGCAGTATATCTAACAAAGTATTTGAATTGAACATATAAAAATAATCCTTCACTCCTAATATTAATTCATCATTTTCCTAAAATCTAAGCTACTATAAAATTGTAATCTGAAGAAGTTCTGGCTGATATGGACATATATACAGTGTAATCATTGATCTTTTATCCTCTTCCTTGAACTCACAGAGATCCGCCTGCCTCTGCCTTCCGGCGGGTATTTGTTTTTAAACACAGAAGTGGCTAAACTGTAGCTTTTAAGTACTGTCCAGTAGTTTCTCATGAATGCACAATCCAAAGATATGCATTTTGGATTTTTTTATGTCTCCTCCTGTTCACCAATAACTTCTGTCTTTTAAAACCAGAAGCACTGGCCCAGGACACTGACTGCTACAGTAGACCAGTCTCCTCCGGCGGGTATTTGTTTTTAAACACAGAAGTGGCTAAACTGTAGCTTTTAAGTACTGTCCAGTAGTTTCTCATGAATGCACAATCCAAAGATATGCATTTTGGATTTTTTTATGTCTCCTCCTGTTCACCAATAACTTCTGTCTTTTAAAACCAGAAGCACTGGCCCAGGACACTGACTGCTACAGTAGACCAGTCTCCAGCAGGTACCAGAGCATCCCTACAAACCACACTTGCCTTGAGGCTACATGGAGGACTCTCAGCACAGCTCTGGATCAGCAGCAAGAGTATTCCTGAGCAAGGCAGAAAGATCAATTTCAATACCAAATTGAAGATTAGAAAGATCTCTGACTGCTTCTCTTGATACTGGGCATTGTAACAGAATATATTCATCATCTGAAATGATCTAGCAAAGACTTGCCTGGGCGCCACCAGATTCTACTCAGAAATCCTGCCACAAAAACATTAAGCAATGAGAAAAGTCATGTGGCTCTTAATCCTTGACAATTCTATTTAAGGAAAGATGTTTTTTTGCCTAAGGAAAGCTCATGGTTTGGCATGGACACTCTTTATAAGCCATGACACCAGTCCCGAGGAGCCAGTAACTCTTCCCATCTCAACACATTGCTAAATGAAGTACTTTTTGCTCCTTTTCTCAGAATGAGCAATAGCTGTGTCATGGTGTCTGTTGATGGAGCCACCTGTCTCCTCCATTGAGGAACAGGAGAATGGTTTCCAATTGTTTGTTTTCTTAAAGTGTACAGGTGGAAAGTTCATTTAAAAATGAACACATAAGAAAAAAGGAATAAAGCATAAGCAATGTTCTATTGTGAAAAAGAAATAAAATAAAATAGAGAAACAGTGTTTGAGTTTTGGTAGATGAGATGTATGCATGAATTATAACAAATACACCACTCACAGTGTGATTTTCATTGCAAAGGAAACTGAACATGTATGGGGATTTGGGTAAATGAGAAATGGTTGTACATTTTGTTAAAATTTATCATAAACCTAAAACAGTAAAAATAAGTTAACAAATGCGCCTAGAATGCACAAATAAACACTAACAAGCATTGAAGTAATATAAAATATCTAGGCATTTACAATGAAATCTACTGTGGAAAGGTTTGCAAGTGAGGCTAGCAGGGATTATTTATAGAGATTTTTAATTTGTTTTTTTCTAGTGTTTATAAGGCAAATTATGTGAAATTTGCAGAATCTACCTACTACCCAAAAAGCACAAAAATATACAGTATGTTTGAATACATTTTTACACTATGAAAACTATACTTCCACTGATAAGTGAATTTCTCTCTTGAGTCCAGAGAAGTAATAGTAGGAAAACAGGTGAGGATTAGAATCATATTTGGGGAGTTGGGTGCACATGGCTGAAACAGCTAAGAGGTAACTTAAGATCCCACATGTGGTACTGACAGATGAGTCAGTTTCATAATGTAAGGAAGGTTGTGGCAAAGAGGACTGCCCACATCCATTAATACTATTATTCTCATCTTTTCATCACACCATAAATTCTGACACACTCTAGACTTTCTAGTTGCTATGAAATACATATGTTTAAATACTACTTGCTAAGCATAGCAATTCCTGTCAACCCTGAGCAAAAATCCACATTTTTGTGCTCTATTCATTGTCTTGCTTTATTTCTTTTAGTTGTACTTATCACAATATGATGTATGTATATAGAAATTGTACTTCTACATTTCATTTTCTTTTTATTTATGTGTATGGGCAGCAAGAGTTATGAGTATGTTAGTGTAGCTGCCTGAGACCAGAAGAGGGCATTGGATCCCTGGAGCTGCCTAAGTTTCAAGGAACCAACCTCAGGAATTATGCAACTGCAGCAGATGCTTTTCTTCTTTTTCCCCATCAGCAGTGGACCAATTTCTCCATCCTCAAGCATTCATAGTTTTAAAAGATGTATTTTCTTTCTTCTGTTGGAATATAACTTCTAAGATAGTGTTCTAATTACTTTCTATTATAACCCCAGCTTTTAGAGCAGTGCTTGATTTAATTATTTTTAGTGTTTTATACTCACTGAGTGAATGAGAGTAATGATTCTAAAAACGAGATCTGTCACTCTATAGCCCATGTCTCACGACTAAAATTCATTTTGGTTCAATTAGTTAATTTGAAGCAGTACAATCATATTAGACATGACATGTGCTACTCTGTAAAATATAGTGAATACTTTTCTCTAAGTATTAATTTGTTTTTAATAGACCCAATAATAATATCTTCTATTTGAATTTAAGCGTGTTTGCAACAAAATAACTGGTAGTAAATTGCCTAGGGAATGCTCTAACATTTTAATTTAATCCCTTCAAGCTTTTATGTAACAAAATTGATGAAGAAACTCAAAGCATCCCATAATTTTTCTGAAATATACTTCCTGATAATACAACATGCAATATAATCAGTTATTTCAGCCTTAGACTCTTAGGCCACCTTACTAAATGATGCCATGCCAGATAATTTAAATATCCCTGTGGGCAGGCAAAAAGTAAATTAAATTCCTGAGCCTGAAAGGAAAAAAAGGCAAATTACTCTTGATTTCCAGCATTAACTGTGACTCATAAGATCACAAAGCCAAATCAATGGCTGCATACCAATCAGGAGTAATTAAAATCATCTTTCAGTGTAGAAATATGGTCAATCATGATTCTCTTCTAATTACTTTTAATCTCTAAATAATTCCATTTGTATCCTATGAATTATCACCAGAATCCATCTGACTTTTGTGCTAGCCAAATTGGGATAATATTGACATTGAGAATAGCCTACTATTTTGTTTTATAGATTAAAAATCTACCCATTCTTCCTTAAATTTGATAATTACCATTTTTATTGTATTTAGAAGATTTCCTAATTTAGCTTCTGTTACTGTGGTAAAATACCCAAAGCAGCTTGGGTGTGGAGAGTGGTTTATTTGGCTTACGTGACCTGATCATAGCCCATCATTGAGGGAGGTCAGAAAAGAAACTCAGAGAAGAAGCAGTAACCATATATGAAAGTGGCTTAGTAGCTTGCTCAGCTACCCTTCACCTGCTCAGGAATGGCAACACCCATAGTGGACTGGGCCCTTCTACATAAACTAGCAAACAAGCAATTGCCCCTGTAGACATGCCCACAGGCCAATCTAGTCGTAGAAATTTCTCAAATGAAATTTCCTATTCCTCAGTGAGTCAAGTCCAGTTTATGTTAATTTGACAAAGACTATCCAACACAAAGACTTTGGAGATTTTCATTTTACACACACAGAAAAGAGAACTTTCTACTGCCCCCGCATCCTTCTGTTCCATGTAGGTGAATTTGTTAGTTTCAGATGATGATCATTTTTGCCACACATGTTTTACAGGCAGAGATAAACCTTTGTAATAATGTGAAAGGCTTAACACATTTTTAACAAGTCTCATACTTACCTGGCAGGGATGATACCATGACCACTAAGATGGTTTATCCAGGGAAAGTCTTATCTATTGCAATCTAATGTGCTAACCCCTGAAATTTCACCAAATGTATTAACTTCAAATGCATAATTTGTGGTAGTGGGAGACTGCATTCATGTTCTCTTCTGCTTTAAAAAAAAAAAAAAAGCTCAAAACCTCCTATATTAGGAGTCTAAAACAGAAGTATCTGTTGAGTCATTCATGCCTGATTCTGACTCTGGTTATTTGCCAGAAACATTGACATCATAGGACTTGAAGACAGATTATTCCAGTTTTCAACTTGCATATAGTCTGTGTATGGCTTCACACAGTGGTCTTCTTGTAAGAACGCTGTCCTTATAGAGTATCTTAAGAATACACATCTAAATGTAATTGAAAATAAATTATCAGTTTGGGGTACTTTTATTAGGACTTGAACATTTGGGGGAAATATGACTTTCTCTCTCTCTCTCTCTGTCTCTCTCCATTTATTCTTCAGTTTCTCTCTTTTATTTTCTTTTGAATTTGACCTCTTTGGGGAGTGGTAAGAAATCATCAATGTGGCAAGGTCACTACAGCTGCAGAGGTGATCAAATATACTTATTAAAGACCCAGTACTTCTCAATTTCTAAAATTTTGAAAATGTGGAGATAATTTTCTCCATCGAAACAAAACGGAAATTCCTATACTATTTTGTGATTTTAGTGTGATATTCCTTATAAGCATCGTTGTGTTAAAAAATTTAGGTATTGATCTTTCTGGTTTTCTATTCCTATTTTTCATCCTTGGTCTTGAAACATCTTAAAGAACTTTGTTGCCCAGGCAACAAAGAAGAGGCATTCATATTGAGTTCTTGGAAATCCCCAGTTCAGCCCAATCCAGGTTGACTGGCTATACCTTGTTGAAATTTCCAAACAAGCTATCATGGAACTAAAGCAACTGGAAAAATGTTGTAAATGATATGGTGGTTAGGATAAGTCATGGTCACTATTTAAGGCTTGGAGTACTCACTCAGCGGGGCTAAGCAATTTCTGCCTTAAACAGAAATCTCGTTCTTGTAGAAATAAAGAAAAATGTGTGCCTAAACCCTGACAAAGTAGGCTCACTTGCTCCTCTAACTCATGACTCTACGAAGCTGATGTCTTGTCAATTTGTTTCTCCTTAAGAAACGAGAACATTGTAATAACTTGTTATCTATCATGATGTTTTGAGTAGTCCATGGCTCAGTTTTGAAGTTTTACTATCAAACGTGGGGTCTTTTACATTGCCCCATTCATCTGAATGATTGTTTGTGGACTGGTCTTCAATTTTTCAGTGCCTCTTTGCATATGTTTTTTCATCATTTAATACTCAGCTTGACTTCCATAGAGCATTGCTGCTGTATTCCATGTCAGTGCATCTCTGCTGTCACATTCTATCCATCAAAGCCAGAAAAAATTTGCTCCAAATTCACATTCCAAGGGAAGATAAGTAGTGTTATCTCTCATGTGAGAAGCTTCATGTGCATATTAGGATAGACTAAGTCTGAACACTATTAATCTCCGTAACAAATATCTGATATTCAAGATTATAACTCTAGTTCGTACACTCAGTTAAACATGGTAGTGTACTGCATCAATAAAGACCCTATCAGGAAAGGAAAATGGTCAAATAAAGTATTTTATATATAAAGAGTTTTATATATAAAAGGATCAGACAGTGGGAAAATAACTGCAAAAAATGTAAGAAAAGCAGACACAAGGAAAGTCTTACTCCCATAAAACTGAACAAAAGTGGCCATTGAAGAGACCCTCCTCCTACCCAGGAAGCTTCACATGGTGACAGCTTCAAAGAAAAGAATTCTATTTTTAACCGATTCCACTGGAGAAGAATTCATGGATACTGATAGCATATAATTAAAATGTATTTTCCTTCTTCAAGACACTTCAAAAGTCTTTTCACATTAAAAATTAGAAATATTAAAACAGCAAGAATGATTACTTGAGATCAGAATAGAGATAGTTTTATTATGAAAAGTCAGGCTACAGTTGCACAATTAAGACCAGCATCATTCTGGCGCTTTGGAGAACTCACTCTTTATTCCCATCGGTCTCAGAAGAGAAAAAAATCCTCTGAGATTTCTGGGCTCTGAGCACACATGAAGCTTTAATAAGATTTTCTCTGTACAGGGATGTGCAGTGTTTTCGCAAGAAATTCTTTATTTCTGGTCACCTGGTGGCTGCAGTTTAAAGTACATATCCAGGAAAGGATGGAGACAGCTACCACTGTTAAATCTACATCTAGGTCAAGGCAACTGGGCCAAGGGCACACATAAGAACACACACAACAATACAGTTCAGTTGTGAGTATACAACTTTTCCTTATCAGTATAACAATATCATTAAAAACTGTGGACTTTTGTTTACTGTATGTCATTAAAAAAACATAAATATTCTCAAGCTGAGCATGGTGGTTCTAGGACTGCTAGGGCTACAGGGGGACCCTGTCTCAGACAAATAAATAAATAAATAAATAAATAAATAAATAAATAAATAAAT